GGGGGAGAAACACTTTGTGTTTTTTATTTCCTCCCCGTTCTGGCCAAAGGCTATTCCACACACATCCCCAGCCGTTCTTACACTCACCCCAACTTCCATATAATAGGAGGCCTCGTGTGCAGGATCTGGTTGGATCCCTAACAACCTCGAAGACAGGGAGGCAAGTGGGAGGCACCTCATTTTGAGGATGTGGTAACTGAGGCTGAAGTAGGAACTGGCTGGTCCCAGCAGCCAGCGGGTGTAGAGCCATGGGTTTTACTTCTTTGTCCTGCATTCTTGCCACCAACAAACTCCCACTATCTTTCAAGGACATAGAATCAACAAGTTGGCAAATTGAGGCAAGTCTCCAGCTGCTTGACTTCCTATCACACAGAGAAATCAATGCAACCAACTTTGGGTACCTCTTAATGCAAGTGCTAGGGGCCCTGTTCTTAACTCTGTGTGATCCAGGAATGTCTGTATCTAAGCGAAGAACTAAAACCATTATCCAGGAGATTCAAAAGGGATGAAGTTTCATCCAGAAATAACGTCTGTTCCCACTAACTCAATGCTTGGAACATGCACAGCATGATATTTTTCAAAGTCTTCTCATCTGAGTTTCCTAAGCAACAAAATTGGATGTTAGCAATTCAACCTAAGTGAAAGGACCAGGTGTGACATGTCCTGGGTTTGGTTTGCAGACATGACTGGAATTAGCAAAATGTTTTCATTTAGAAAGAGAATCACCGAGTGTTGGAGGTGAAAGGAACCTTAGAGTTGACCTAATCCAGATTGCCCAGGAGGTTGACCAGTACTATCCCACAGATAACGGTTTGTAATTGGCACCTCCTTTGCCCTGTGCAAACACGGGTCTGTGTGCTGGAGCCCTGGAGGCCAGTTGTTGGAGGTGACAGAATTGAAAGCCCTACTCCTGCATAGTTATGATAAATGAAGCAATAGCTAAATGCCATTAAGGGTTTGCTGTACTAAAGTAAATCTCCATGTTGGGAAGTGTATCCCGTAGCTTCGAGCAAAAATCCGCATTTGTTATATTTATCGTGTTAAAAGAAACTCTGCAATAAGACAATAAACTTACATTTGGCTTATTGCATCACACATCATCCTTGGTGTATATTGAAAAATCTGCCTAGGGGGTTGTCTTTCTGGAAGAACTCCAAGTTTCACACGATATTTAAAAATAAGCCATTTCTTTACAGTTGGCAGATTGAATTTGAACATGAGTAATGCACGTCAATATCTTATGGTTTCTTTAACATGAGTATAGGGGCCCTAAGGGCCTAAGGGTTTGAATGTTTGTTTGTTAGTTTGTTTGTTTGTTTGTTTGTTTGGCTGGGTACAGTGAACTTCATTGATGGTGCATGTCAAGGTTGGGCTCCCTAGCCCCCTCCCCTTTTTCAGATGGAAACCGTGGTCAGGAGATTCTCAGTGTGTTGGGGGGTCGATTTGGGGCAAGGACTCCCCAGCAGCTAAGGGCCTCTCTTCCTCTTTCTGGGGCTGGTAGTCCAGGGGGCTCTTATTCCTTGGAGGCCATGTGGACCATGAGGTCCACCACCCTGTTGTCACAGGAGACAACCTGGTCTTCAGTGTAGCCCAGGATGCCCTTGAGAGGGCCCTCTGATGCCTGCTTCACTACCTTCTTGATATCATCGTATTTGGAAGCTTTCTCTAGTTAGCGGGTTAAACCACAACCAACACATTGGGGGTGGGGACACGGAAGGCCATGCCAGTGAGCGTCCCATTCAGCTCAGGGATGACCTTGCCCACAGCCTTGGCAGCACCAGTAGAAGCAGGGAAGATGTTCTGGGCAGCCCCTCAGCCATCACACCACAACTTCGCAGAGGGGCCATCCACAGTCTTCTGGGTGGTGGTGATGGCATGGACTGTGATCATGAGTCCCTCCATGATGCCAAAGTTGTCATGGATGACCTTGGCCCGGGGGGGGCCAAGCAGATGGTGGTACAGGAGGCATTGCTGACAATCTTGAGGGAGTTGTCATACTTGTCATGGTTCATAGCCATCACAAACATGGGGGCATCCGCAGAAGGGGCAGAGATGATGTCCCTTTTGGATTCACCCTTCAAGTGAGCCTCAGCCTTCTCCATGGTAGTGAAGACACCGGTGGACTCCACAACATATTCGGCACCAGCATCACCCCATTTGATGTTGGCGGGATCTCGCTCCTGGAAGATGGAGATGGACTTCCATTGATGACAAGCTCCCTGTTTTCAGCCTGGACTATGCCTTTGAACTTGCCAGGGGGTCCATACTGGAACATGTAGACCATGTAGTTGAGGTCAATGAAGGGGTCATTGATGGCGACAGTATCCACTTTGCCAGAGTTAAAATCAGCCCTGGTGACCAGGCGCCCAATGTGGCCAAATCCGTTCACTCCGACCTTCACCATCGTGTCTCAGGGTTGTGGCTGGCACTGCGCAGGAGGAGAGGCTGTCTGACGAACAGGGGGAGCAGAGAACCTGTTGTGTGTTTTTTCTGTAGTAATTATTTTCTTCAAGAATGTACTCCAAATCAGCTTGTGCACATGCTAAATTTTCAAGTATTGAAGGTAGCCATATTTGTTAAATTGCCATCAACTAGACCACAGACTGCATTAGTAATACAATGTTTTAGTATTTCCCCAAATTATCTACCAAAGTAAAATGACCTCCATTCTCACTCTGATTGTGGAGTCAAGGAATTCTGAAGGTCCTCTTTGGACCTTCCATTTTGTTCTTTGTCCAAAAGGTTGGAAGATAACAGAATGCTTTCATTTATATTTTTACTTTTCTCCTTGCTCTCTGAAGTGATAAACATCAGTAAAATGCATCTAAAATGGACAGGTGAACAGATAAGATACGGAAAATATAGACTATGGATGGTCAGTACAAGAACGCTCGCAGCCATCCCAATATTAAGGTATATTAGCAACAGTGTGACTTCCTAGAAAATACAGAGGGACTAGTTCCTTATGGTAAGAGCCTAAGAGTGGATGGCATCTGACCAATGCTTCCTAAGGAGTATTTTAGTGACTAACTATAGTAAATGTTACTTTGCCCTTGGCCTCTGAGGGTAGACATTCGAGGTGAGCATTCCCAACTTGCCTTTAATAAACCCCCTGAGTCCATTCTCTATGGGTTTGCCTAAACCTTCTTGAGGGAATTTCTAACTTGAGCTTCCAGACTCTCCTAGAGTAGGTGAGGAGAACCTTTATTGTAATTCATTGATCCGCATTTTTAAAGGGAAATCTGAAGTGTACTCAAGTAAAAAGGACTTAGTTTTGTTTGAGAAAAAATACAAAAGAACTAATAATTAAATACTTTTCTTTAAACTAAGGAACCGTAAATCTTTAATTAGCATCTGCAACACGTTCTGAAATATATTATACCATAGTTTTACTTACAGCAAAAAGAAAGTTAGGAGCTGGAAGGGAAAACAATGAAAGGTACAAAGGAGGCATAGGAGGGAGAAAGGGGAAAGCTAAGAAGAATGACCTAGAAGTAGAGAACCTGGAAGGATAAAGAGAAGGGGGAGAAAGAAGAACAAGAGGAAAGAAGTTTGGAAGTCCTGATGTCAATTAGAGATAAACTAGTTTTTTCACAGTCTGATGTTGACTGAGCTGTATGGCCTCAAGATGTTTAATCATTGTCTTTTGAAATGTATACTAGATGCTGAATCTCTAAGCAGTCACTGTCAGAAGTACAAATAATAACTGAGACCAGTGACACCTCCCAAGGTCATTGACAAAGGTGGATGAAACCAGGCTAGACCTAACTAGGTAAGGAGGGTTTCCAGTTTCTTCCTCCTCCAAGAATTGAGTGCTCTAGGTACACAATCTTTACTAAGCAAGTAAGTGCCTCCTTCCACTGCCCTCAAACTTTGATCTCCATGCTTTGCCTTATCAACTTGCAACACTGGGTTCAGGTTAGGAAAGCCAGTTGGGCTGCCTATATCTTACTTGGTTTTACAGATCCCCCACATACCTGTTCTTGGCCTTCAACTTTCAATACCGAAATCCTGTTCATTTCAGCCTCTAATAATAGGAGGAGCTTTCATTTATTTAGCGATGTCTGTGTGCCATGTAAACTTCACAACAACCATGAAATGACTGTGCTTGTTAGCTTCATCCGACAGCTTTGTAAACTGAAACACAGAGAGGTTAAATAACTTGCCCAGAGAGGTTAAATAACACAGTAAGTGATAAAGACCATGTCTAAGCCCAGGATGTCTGACTCTAAAATCCACTCAGTTGATCCTCGTCTTCCGAATTATTGAGCCCTCCCTCTTCCTTCCGAATCTGACTTCGGGCTGCTGCTCCTCTGCCTACGTCTGCCCTGCACCCAGATCATCGTGGACCAGACTTCAAGCTCCTCTTCGTGAAACTTTCCTGGACTGAATGAAATTGGCTCATCATCTTCCTTCCCCACATGAGGCTGCCCAGACATCCACACATCCCAGGACCAAAGCTTGCCTGACGAAATTCTGTCACCAGTGCTAACCACATAAATAGGATTCATTGTCAGAGAAGCACGTGCTCAGTGCCATATTATCTGCAAGTGTAGGTCTGCATTTGTGGTTTTAGTTGTAGAATAAAACTTCTAGAAATCATGAAACCCTGCCAGCTTATAGCAATTCACTTAAGAAAACATAACCCGGGGAATTAAGAGAAAAAAATTACCAATAACTAAGAGAGGAGAGATGATTACTCCCCCAAAACTATTCCAAGGGGTGGTTATTCCCACAAATGTGCCTAAAAACAATGGGCAATGAAGGGAAGAATGGATGTTTTTCAAATCACTTAGGCCCTAGAATTTAAATGTATATACTACATTAGGCTTCTAAGTGCAATGAACTCATACAAAGTGACTGTATTTGCATTAGTTAGGGAATTTCAGGTTGCAAAGTTACCATCTTGGAATATCTTTGAGCAATCCGTATACTTTAAAGAATGGTGAACCTATGTCTCCAAGAGGATTCGCTCACTTGGGCTCTCTTCTCTTTTCCAGATCTTGGCCATTGTGTCCATCCTGTTCATCGTACTCTCCACCATTGCTCTGTCTCTCAACACCCTCCCGGAGCTTCAGGAGACGGATGAATTCGGACAGGCCAGCGACAACCCCCAGTTGGCACACGTGGAGGCGGTGTGCATTGCTTGGTTTACCATGGAGTACCTCTTACGCTTCCTTTCCTCGCCAAACAAGTGGAAGTTCTTTAAAGGCCCACTCAACGTCATTGACTTGCTGGCCATCTTGCCCTATTATGTCACCATCTTCCTCACGGAGTCCAACAAGAGCGTGCTGCAGTTCCAGAACGTGCGGCGCGTGGTCCAGATCTTCCGCATCATGCGGATCCTCAGGATCCTGAAGCTCGCCAGGCACTCCACAGGCCTGCAGTCTCTGGGTTTCACCCTCAGACGGAGTTACAATGAGTTGGGCTTGTTGATATTGTTTCTGGCCATGGGGATCATGATCTTCTCCAGCCTGGTGTTTTTTGCGGAGAAGGATGAAGACGCCACCAAGTTCACCAGTATCCCGGCATCCTTCTGGTGGGCCACCATCACCATGACCACTGTAGGCTACGGTGACATCTACCCAAAAACATTGCTGGGGAAGATCGTGGGCGGCCTCTGCTGCATTGCCGGGGTTCTGGTGATCGCCCTCCCCATCCCAATCATTGTGAACAATTTTTCTGAGTTTTACAAGGAGCAAAAACGCCAGGAGAAGGCCGTGAAAAGGAGAGAGGCTCTCGAGCGGGCCAAAAGGAATGGAAGCATCGTCTCTATGAACTTAAAAGATGCCTTCGCTCGAAGTATGGAGCTGATCGACGTGGCTGTGGAGAAGACAGGAGAGCCGGCCAAGACGAAGGACCCCACCGACGACAATCACCTGTCTCCCAGCCGGTGGAAGTGGGCCAGGAAAGCTCTGTCAGAAACCAGCTCCAACAAGTCTTACGAGAACAAGTACCAGGAGGTTAGCCAAAAAGACTCCCACGAGCAGCTGAACAACACGTCCGCCTCCAGCCCACAGCATCTGAGTGCGCAGAAGCTGGAGATGCTGTACAACGAGATCACCAAGACACAGCCTCACTGTCACCCCAACGCCGACGGCCAGGAGCAGCCCGAGCGGCCCTCAGCCTACGAAGAGGAGATCGAGATGGAGGAGGTGGTGTGCCCGCAGGAGCAGCTGGCCGTGGCGCAGACCGAGGTCATCATGGACATGAAGAGTACCTCCAGCATCGACAGCTTCACCAGCTGCGCCACCGACTTCACCGAGACCGACAGGTCGCCCCTGCCACCGCCCTCCGCTTCTCACCTGCAGATGAAGTTCCCGCACGACTTCCCGGGCACCGAGGAGCCCCAAAGAGCCAGGGGCCCCCCTTTCCTAACACTCGCCAGAGAGAAAGGCCCTGCGGCCCGGGATGCCTCCCTAGAATATGTCCCCGTCAATATAACTGGGCACCTCGATGCCAGCGGTTCCCAAAGCGGGCTCCATGGCCCCGGGCCATCTGACAGTGCCCCCGAGAGCCCTAGGAGCTTGCTGAGGGGCAGCCACCCCCTGAAATCCAGGTCCTTCAAGGTGAATTTCAAGGAAAACAGAGGCAGTGCCCCGCAGACCCCACCCAGCACAGCCAGGCCTCTGCCGGTCACGGTGGCTGACTTTCCCATCACCACCCCGCAGCTCATCAGCACCATCCTCTTAGAAGAAACCCCCCCACAGGGAGACAGGCCCCTGCTGGGGACTGAGGTTTCCGCACATTGTCAGGGACCCGCCCGAGGGCCGAGCCCCCGGGTTCCCAAGCAGAAACTCTTTCCTTTCCCATCGAGAGAGAGGAGGAGCTTCACAGAGGTGGACACTGGGGAAGACGATGACTTCCTAGAGCTGCAAGGGCCCCGGCAGGACGCGCAGGCCGGCTCCAGCCCTAACTGCTTTGCCGATAAGCCGAGCGATGGGAGAGACCCTTTAAGGGAAGAGGCCTGTGCGGGCTCTTCCTCCCCCCAGGACACAAGTCACAACTGTAGGCAAGACATTTACCATGCTGTGGCCGACGTTAAAAAGGACAATAGTCAAGAAGGGTGCAAAATGGAAAACCACTTGTTCGCCCCAGAAACACATTCCAACCCAGGAGACACAGGTTACTGTCCCACACGTGAAACCAGCATGTGACTAGTTACAAAAGCAATAAAAAAGAAAAAACACTTGTTTCTTAAAATTACGGTTAAAAATGCCTGTGAACTAACACATGGGACGCTCGCCTCCTCCCCCCAAAAAGTGCATAAAAATGTTATTTTTGCATGGCATGAGCAGTTTAGTTTAAGTACTGTTTAACTAAAGAGTCAAGACTGCTTTTTGTAACAAACAAACAAAAATGACTGAGGATCGGTGACCAAATAAAGAGAGCTCTGCTAGGAACCAGTGTTCTGCAATGTCTGACATTTTTGATCCTTTCATTTCAAATTGTAGACGGATTCTCAACTTGCAGCTTTTCTGTTACAATGAATTTTAGAATTTGCACATGAAAGGATGAAATGTCATTGCATGTGTTCGTAAGGACGAGGAGCAAGGTGTGCTCTGAGCTTGCAAAATGCCTAACTTTGTGAATAGTGGGGCCCGGGATGCAAAAGTGTCCAGAACCTCTGGGAACAAGTGTCTGAGGCACAGGTCCTTCCTTCGCAGCTACTGAAGGGTGCAGACTTCTTGTTGCAACATTGCAACCTCTTCTTAAACCATCTCCCATATCTCGCTTTGGGTTACAAAACTCTTCTAAGTACATCTGTTTAGAGGAATACAGTATTTTTATTTCCTTGTGATATCATGCCTAGGGTGCATTTTTTCCTTTTATTTTTTTGCCCCTGCTTCATTATGGCATTTGTGGATTTCTTTATCTATTATGAACATAGGCAAGATTTAATGACCAGATATCAAAACACTTGGAATTTAAGCTTGAAATGTTGCCCTCAATTATATGTCGTGCCACAGCAAAATTACATAAATGCATTTTTTAAACACCTGAATATAAGGAAAAGGTTATATCATACAGCTAAACATTTTTTTAATGGCACTCCACATTTGGAAATCAGTTTTGGGTGTGTTGTTGTTGGTTTTTGTTTTTTTAATTGTATGTTGGCCCTCTTGAGATGCCTGTATTTTCTACTTGTACTCAATATAATCCTTCCTATCTAAAGATCTAAAGATAGAATGCAGATATGCCAAATGGGAATTACAAAAGGTGACTTTTAACAAACAACAGAGCTATTTAAGTGGGACTGCCATCCCCCCTCATAGAGTTGGATTCAAAAAAGAGTTACCAAAGCCTTAGCCAGTTTACTCAGTGGATAGAGCGTTGGCCTGCAGACTGAAGGGTCCCGGGTTCCATTCCAGCCAAGGGCACATGCCCGGGTTGCAGGCTTCATCCCCAGTGTGGGGCATGCAGGAGGCAGCCAATCAATGATTCTCTCTCATCATTGATGTTTCTATCCCTCTCTCCCTCTCCCTTCCTCTCAAATCAATAAAGAAATATATTTTTTTTTAAGAAAAAGAGTTACCAGAAAAAGCATCCTGAGCTGGTAATGGGTCACTAGTATTTCCCAGTAGGGATGGGGGGAGGGGCACACTGCCACGTTGGGAGGGCCGCAGGTGCCAGCAGCACCCTCCAGTAACTGCAGGAAGTGAAAACACCCACCACCACGTTTCCAATGTCTCCAAGGGATGGAAACCACTTCCAGGATTTTCTACTGAGAACAGTGAAGTCCAGAGGAATTAAGCGCTTGCTTTGGTTGCCCTGCTGGTAAAGTCCATGCTGGAACCCAGGTCATTCGAATCCAGTTTGCTTCACAGGAAACCAAGGCTCTGGCCCAGATGTGCGGCCACCGGAGTGTGATTCTGGATGGGCCTCAAAGACCTCCTCTCGGTCTCAGTTTTGCCCCAATAAAAACCTAGACAAAATTATTCCTTAAACCTTCAAATTAAGATGATTCATTGGTCTCTCAGGAATGTCCAAGCTTTGCCTCCGCATAATGTGTTTGTCAGTCTGTGTGTGTGTGTGCACACAGGGAAATAGGAAAATTCTGGGCCAAATTTAAAGCACAACTTTTTGTTTAAAGAAAGGAAATATTCTAAATTGTTTTCTATTTTTAAAATGTAAAAAGCACTGGAAAAAGACAACCCAAATATTTAGAGTCTAACTTAAGGAATAACTTTTCTTTATTAACAGAATCTGGTCATTATATCTCAGATAATAAAACAAGTCGATCCTAGTTGAAATCCAAGCAGCCCTACTGCTAAAAAGAATTGTAAACATTTCTTTTTCACTGTGCTTAGAATTTCTTAATGGTTTTCATGTTTGTTTCAAAACATAACCTTTAAGAGTTTATGGTCCTTGGTCATCGATATTTCCATTACTCATACTTATTTTAGTGTCTAAAACTAAACGTTGGTCAGTTTTTGTAAATCTAGAGCAGTGGTTCTCAACCTTCTGGCCCTTTAAATACAGTTCCTCATGTGGTGACCCAACAATAAAATTATTTTCGTTGCTACTTCAGCACTGTAATGTTGCTACTGTTATGAATCGTAATGTAAATATCTGATATGCAGGATGGTCTTAGGCGACCCCTGTGAAAGGGTCGTTCGACCGCCAAAGGGGTCGCGACCAACAGGTTGAGAACCGCTGATCTAGAGTGTTTGAATTCCCTACCTATAGTTTTTCAAGTCAAGCAGGTATATCTGCTGTTAGATGAATAGCAAATAAGTTATGCAAATAATTGTCTTTATATCAAACCTCATGAAGCAGTTATCTTCTAATGCCATATTGTTGAATCTCAATTTTTTAAAATGTATCTGTCTGCACAAGTGGGCTTGTCTTATCTCCCTGACAATTCACTAATGTCCACCTTTCATCTGTCCATTAGGCCTTCTCCTGAGAACCCTGCCCCAGAATGCTTCATATTAGAAATCTTGCCTGGATTAGGAATCCTAGCCAATCCCCTCTGGGAGCATTTCTTCCTAAAAACTTTTCCCCTTTAATATTTCTTTTAAGTTTTCAAGAGTTTTCAAGAACATCCTATTGAAAGCTTAACCTTTGATTCCAAGCACTTCCAAGCCAAAGGTCTCAGCTATGAAAAAAATAAAATGCTCCTCTAAAAACACTTCGACTTTGGTGTTTTACAGGGAGGCAATGCGGGAACTGAGGGTTCCCAGGATGCACTTGGGCAGCGCTTCCTCAGCCTTGTTAATGAACTGCACCTGACACAGACGATGCCCGTGAATGTCCTGAACAGTCTGGGAATGTACCGAGCACAGAGTTTTTTTAAAGTCTTATGTTTTACATTAAAAATTCGTGGAAATGCTGCATTTTGCCCCATAGCTTATGTTTTGATATAAAAGGAATGATGTTTTACACTATTTATCAACTAGGAAAATTGGTACTCATAACTTCAAATACCTCTTTTGTAGCCCTTGGAAAAGGTGTCATCTCCCCAGTCTGAGAAGCACTGCCTGAATGGGGGAAGCATGGATTGGTTCCCTGAGAGGCTGAAGGGGCCTGCTGCTGGGAAAGTGTACTCATCCGTCCCTGGATCAGTGACCAGGACAAATGTCCATGAGTAAAGACCATTTGAATGCACTTGGAATGGCGCCTTTGGTTCTTGGGGCTGTTTTAACAGCCAGTGCAAATTGCCACAAGATTATTTTAGATCAAAGACTGAGATCAACCATAAAAGGATCGAAATGGGTGCACAGATAAATGTCTTCGGTTGGATCACAACTAAAAAAGTGACCTATGGAGTGAGTCCCTGGAGTTCATCTCATAAGTCTCTAAACATTTTCACTAGAAATTTCTCCACTGGGGCACAAGCATTTAGATCAAGCATTATCCTGATGGGACTAGGTTTAGTAACAAGCAGAATATGGGCCAAATGTCTATTCCCATTAATTTCTTGTCAAAACCATCTCACATGGAGACACAGGCTGAGGAAAGTCAACAACTCAGCTATTATCTCTTGGAATTTGAATAGCAAACAAAAAGCCTTATGTGTGTAAAGTACTAGTACTTTACAGTTTCTTGTTACTCTTACTCCTTATAACAGCCTCCTGAAATATTTATTTATTTATCAGTGAAGGACCGGAGAGGTTATGAATTTTGCTCAAGTGCACATAGGTCACTGGGCCAAACCACATCATCTGTCCAACATTCCAACATACCACAGTTTGATTAGGGCTTTTTTTTTCTATTAATAGCTGAAATTATGTAAATAAAACTAGAGGTACATTTATAGTCAAGCAGTTCCTTTAAAGCAACAGTGGATCAGACCAGATGGTGATGACTGAGGATAAATGCATCTTTAGCACATATGTTTGCCACTTTAGAATTCTGCTCATAAGGTACACATCCCTGTTAAAGGAGAGAATTCATAGCTCATGATGGAGCATGACATGCACACGAGGCAGAGGGCTGAAGGAAGCCACTAGATTTTCTGAAACAAAAACAGGTACACTTTAGAACTGCTTCTAGTCTGATTTCAAAGGTAATCAAATTTGTGATTTCCCTGTCCATTCATCCCGCAGATATTAGGTGGGCATCCCTATATTAACACGAGGTGAGTGCCCATATCTATAGAAGGCACCATGCTTGGTGCCAGGGTACAACCCCAGCCTCATGGAGCTTCCTGCCTGGCCCACTTAAAACCCACCTAAGGATCACTTTGGTCACTGAAAAATGTCTCTTCTGGGTATGGAAAAATCACTCAGTTATCAAACCAGGAAAACATATGACAGGAATACGTGAAATGCTTTTCCAATGAACTTTTCCTAAGAAAATGATGGGTGGTATGAATGGAAGTCTGATCCATAATTATTTTTTCTATTTCTTAAATTTTAATTTAATGTAATTTTTTCATCACCTTCTATTCCTCTATGCCCTCTACCACCTCCACCCACCCCTCTGGTCCCCCACCAAAATCACCACACTGTTATCCATGTCCATGAGTTCTCTAACCCACAATTATTTTTGAATCACAATTTAGATTTACACTTGAGGAAAAAAATTTGTTAGTCTGGTTCAATGAGGTTATATTCATCTTTCCTTATTATCTGATAAGTTGAAAAATAATTTTTGAGTTCAATATGGTGTTTGTCAAATTGCTAGTAATAGTCTATAACTAATAGCTAAAGCAAAATGTAATGCCAGTGAAAATCCATAGCAAACTTTATATTTTAATAGTGTGTTGATGGTTATGTGGTTAAAAACAAAGCAGTTGAGTGGTTTTTCTTCCTATTGACATTAGGCAACATTTTAGCAATGTGCCACTATTTTCTATTTAATCCTCTAAATTTTAAATGGAAGATATTTAAAATTCAGTAACCAAAAATAATTTAGCTTGACTCACAGGATTTATTCTCTAGGTCCATGTGACTTTGAAAATATATTGGGTTGTTTTCCGCTGCTACTGTCCTCACTAAGGGAGGAAGGAAGAAAGGCTACAAAACCCAAGTTTAAAAACTGGAAACATTCTTATCCCCAACAAGAAAGAGGAAAGGAAGAAAAAAGAAGAAAGAGGGAAGGTTCCAACTCCAGAATCTTGGTAAACATTCTATATGGTTTAACTTAGTGCTTAGTGTAGTATAATGCTATCCTTTCGTGGGTTTAGTAACTATTTTTCTACTTGCCTTTTGAAAACAGTCTGACTTAATTGCATAAATCTTTATTTATCATTGCCAAAAATGCATAATCTCTTCCTTGCTAAAATGTAAAAAAGTTTAACCTATAAATATACTTATAAATAAAGGAAGAATGCATAGGGTGGATCTCTTTAATAATAAGACAACCCAGGGTTACCAAAACATATAAATATAAAAGAAAGGAAGAAAGAATAAAAAATATGTAAGTAAATTTAACATATTGTTAAGCAGAGAAATTTTTATTAGGCATATGAATATGCTTGTGTGAAATTTAGACTAGATATTTATTATTGACCTGAAATTTTACAATTGAGTCTATGATTCCAATTTTAATTTCTCTCCTGAAGAAATTATTTTCTATCATCTAACAAATGCTTCCAGATTGCTGTGATAAAATATTTCCTTCATCAAACATTTATTGTCTACCAAGTTCCAGAGATTAATTTATGTACAATTAATTCTCTCAATTTTACAGTCTAGCAGAGGTTTCATGTTTAAAGAGTTTATATTCCAAAGTGATATCCAATTCCATAGGGTGAACTGGAAATCGTATGACAATATGTTTGAGTTTGTTGTCTGAGAATTTCTATAATCCATTTTTACCCCCATCAGACTCAAGTGATTTATTTTAATTCCTTAACCCAGAATTTGAATGTCCACTACATAAGCTTTCTAAATATCCAGGCTTAACAGTAT